AAGTCCAAGTACAGAGGGTGACTTTGCTGTGAAAAAACACATTTCCACCAAAAAAACGTTAGCAACCATGAATGTGTACACATTCATGAAGTAATCTTCGTCATAACTAGCAAACTAAACATCATGTCCATGTACTGCACAAATAATCAGAAATAAAAACTCATTACTCGCATAAAATGACATCAAAACGCATTTTAATGGCCAAATGAACCTTAAAATAGGCCTTTTCCACCGAGAATAACACGAAGGTCGGCCATTGTTGTTGATCACGTGGTCTGGGAGCTGTTGCAGCGTCCATAGCAACCACCTTAGCAACCATGAATGTGTACACATTCATGAAGTAATCTTCGTCATAACTAGCAAACTAAACATCATGTACATGTACTGCACAAATAATCAGAAATAACAACTCATATTAATCGCATAAAATGACATCAAAACGCATTTTATTGGCCAAATGAACCTTAAAATAGGCCTTTTCCACCGAGAATAACACGAAGGTCGGCCATTGTTGTTGATCACGTGGTCTATGAAGGTCTATGGGACGCCCTGCCCGTAGAAGCCTGACGGTCAAGGGGTCCGCTGTCCGCAATGAAGGTCTATGGGACGCCCTGCCCGTAGAAGCCTGACGGGCAAGGGGGTACCCTGTACGTCATATAGCGACGGGGAGGGGCCCTGACCGTCCGTCAATATGTGACGGGATGGGAGTGAGAACGTGTGTGTGTGTGTGTGTGTGTGTGTGTCCAACTAGTCCCATGATCTCAAATCGAGAGATGTAGACGTATATTATTGCAAGCTAGGAAAGGAGTAGAAAAGGACCTTTAGGAACATTTAAGGTAAGGGGAATGTTGTCTTTGGCACAGTGCTACAGTCTCTTGCGTTCCATAAAACATCAAAAACAAAATGAAAACATCTTCAAACATAAAAGACCTTTATTTGACATTGACACCAGTAGAATTAAAGTGCAATGTTCTAAAATGCCTTTATATTCATTGCAGTAAGATTTAGCATCAGAGAGTTTAGCAGCTTGATGGATGCTGGAACAAACGATAGCTTCGAGCGCTTTAATTTGCACTTTGTCACACACAGTCTTCCTCCTCGTGGCAGAGCTTCGTAAGCTGTCAGCGTGGCTCATGAAAACTCGCTTTTTGTATATTGTACACACCTACTACTATAACAACCATACCTGCATTTCTTATGGTATTTTCAGAGGAGAAAGCCAATGATTGCAGACAGCAGCAGCCAGAGATTCAGAATTATCCTGCAGATTGATTAAAGCTGAGGTTTTCTAGACAATTGGAGCATAGATGTCATCAAGGCCAATCAAGCCTGGCCCTATTCCTTTCCCATTACAAAGGCTGCACCTGATTAAGTACATCAAATGAGCAGTCGCACAGCTCCTGGAGCAAGAGGCATGCAGGCTGCTGCTAATTTCCAGGTTATACGCTGTGTGTAACAGGACCAAATGAATAAGACCAGAGTGAGGCCAATGATTTTTCTCCGTGTGTGTGATCTGTATTTGATGGCAAGCATCAGGCCGCTGAGTAGATAGGTCGGACTGATTATTTCTCAGATGACAGGAAGAGAATACAGAGCTGCAGTGTAATATTTCGTTAAAATTGAATATCTGTCCTCCATGCTATGTCATTCCTTTAACACTGCGCCAATTAAAGGGCTCTATGGTGGCACAATCATTCATTTTCAAGAGGGAGATTGAAATTGAATTATGGCGCATGAGAAGAATGAATTAGATATGCTACATGTTTCCCTTGTTTCTGAGCTCTCAACGCTGTTTGGTACCCGGACTTATGGCAAGACTCATATTTGGTTGGTGGCTTTTTTGTATTACATTTGAAATGATTTGGTAATAGTATACGAACAAAATGTGATACACTTTAAACCATATGTCAAACTCAAGGCCCGGGGGCCAAATCCGGCCCTTGGTGGATTTAATTTCGGCCCGCAGGATAATTTCTAATTGCTATTAGATCTGGCCCGCCGGTATATTGCACGCACACCTTCCCTCCATCCTGAGGGTCTCCTCAGCTCAGAGCCTGAGCCCAAACATTGATGACCTTGCACCCAAGATGAGATGCCAAGTATCTGAACTAGCATCATAGAGCAGCAACCTGAGTTTAATGGATGTTTCGTTCTCCACTTTCTCTCAGGACAACAGGACATGTTTGGTTTTCTCTTTGAGGGAATAGTTTTGTTGAAGCTGTTGTTGGTCTGTGGGGAAATGTAATCATAAGAAATGACTCTGAAAAGCTGCAGATAGAGCCATAAGAAATGAATGCAACTGATTATTTAATGTTGTTTTTATAGGCAATCATTTAAGCTTTGTTAGTTCCAGGTTTAATATGTGCAATAAGTTCATTTCAATAAGTTCTGCAATAAACATTGAACCAGTCCGGCCCTCGACTTGTACCCATTTTTTAATGTTGGCCCACTGTGTATTTGAGTTTGACCCCCCTGATATAAACTAAAGTAGATAAAATAACAAAAAAACTATCCATAAATTGAAAACAATTATAATAATGTTGAAATCTACTCATTACAAACAATTACATTTAATAAATTACTTACAATGTTCTAAACATGGTGTAACTGGTAAAAGAGACTGTATAGGAGTTTATGACAGAAAAGTTATTTCTTCCTGATGGCTTTCCTTTTCTTTTAACACTCAACGTCTTTCTCTAAAACGTGTTTGAAGAAGGGGAAAAAAATAGCAACTCTTTCAACCATAACCCTCTCCACTTTAACTCTGCATGCATTTAGTATGTGTTTGTCATGATATGTGCTAAGTGCAGCAATGATTTAATGAACACGTCCATCACCGCGAAACAGGACGACATGAAAGAGAAACACCGTCCATATCGTGGTTCCTCATATTTTAATTATCTCTCAGGAGAGGGTATTTTTACATGCTTATCAAAACATGTTTGACCTCTAATGATTTCTCAACATATGAATGTGCTTCGCATGTTCATACTCCTGTCATGGTTTCACACAGGAATCTACAGTAACATTAAGAAAGTGTGGCTATTTTAAGTGTGGGTGCTATTGAGTGGAGGCAGCATGACAATCCCATGCAGATCATGTCAGAAAGCTCCGGGGGAAAAGTAGCTTTATCCCAGCAACGGTATTTTTAAGCCTTCCTGTTCATTTTCTTAACAAGAAACGCTTTCTTCTAAACTGTGAAATGATCAAATAAGTCAGTGTGTGAAGTTCAATTCCATAAAAAAATATAATCTTGTTTATTTCTAGCCTGAAGCTTGATGTGCAGCCGAGGGGGAGCAGAGCTATGTTTTCATATTTGTATTCCAGCAAGTACAGGGAAACCCTTTTTACCGTAGGCCATCATCAACGAAGGAGGAAGTCATGCACAAATCAAAACACAGGGCAGCAAGTTGGGATGGATGTGAGAGGCAGAGGTGGGGGGGGGGGGGGGGAGAGCAGCCAGCAGTACACAGAGAATCACTATGGTGACAGCAATCACCGGGCTCAGGGGAGGGATGCTTGGTCCGAGAGGAAGGCTTGAGAGGCAGCTGATGGAGGAATCAGCCCTCACTCCGGATGATCCGACTGACAGCTACCCCCCCCCCCAGGGCTCTGCCGGCCCCCCCCCCCCAGAGAACGTGGGGTTTACAGAACAGGAATGCAGCTAGCAGACCCCTTTTTATTTCAAGGCGAATAATTGACGCCAAGAAATATCCCTGTCCTCCACATATCCTGCCACTGATGAAAATGTAAAAAGGTGCTAATTTAAAACATGTATTACGCGCCGCTTCCTCGACAAGTGTGAGTCTCTCCATATTTTTCCCTTTTCCTGTTTTGCATAAACACCCGTTAAATCTTAACAGTTTGTTAACACTTCCTCTGCCTTGTATTCACTGTTAGCCCCTCTCTCACCCATTAATTGTCACCCTCCTTTCTCTCTGTATCCGTCACTTCCTCTGCTGCTCCCTCCCTCCTTCCCTCTCCACTATGCTGGACACAGTCCACCTAAACAGATGGTTCAGTGTCAATAGGCTGCTATTAACTGGCCGCTCTCCCCACTCTGATCCACGACAGCAAAAAGCACATTCAAAGCACTGGGAATAAATCCACTGCCATGCTGATGGAGTGTGACACCACTAAGATTAGCATTAGGGAAGATGATGGTGAATCCCGTCTACAATATATTTCATTTTCCTATAAACCTTTAATTTCTTGCACATCTTGCATACACTAGATGCAGGCAAAACACACTGTGAGTCATACTCAGAATTCTCGCAGGTGTTATCGACCCAAACCAAAAATGTGCCATGGATGTGAATCACATCCTTGGCACAGGTCTCCCTAATCTTTTTTCTCCCCTTGTTTACTCCCCCTGTAGTTGGGATCTCCTGCCATGCCTGTGACTAGCTGCTTCGTCATCTCCGTGCCACACCCTGCCGAGGAAAAGGACAACCACCTGACCTTGATGCTCACATCAGCCCTCGCCTCTCTGCTCTGCTGCCCGTTACACAGAGGTACTGCTCTCCTGAGGTCTGCTGACACTGTACATTATTCATTATCTGACGTGTTCCTGTCACAAAAACACCTCAGAGGAATTATTTTCCCCCCAAAACTCTTTAAATGTCCTTTTCTGGATTGTGCAACCTGTTTTTGTAGGAAACATAATTAGATAACTGGATATCACAATAACAACCCCTAACTAATGTAGTTATCCCTGAATGTAATTATTATTATTTAGCAGTGAGGAGCTTATATAAGTGCACAAAATACATACATGTGTGATATAGGCACACACGAGGAAAGAGGAGAAGAAAATGGAAAAGATAGGAGTGGCACGGGGAGGAAGGGATGTGGCGGCGATGGTGTCGCTGTTGCTAGAACAGTCTTCCCACCTTGTGGTAGCACGGCGAACTGTAGCTGCATCAATGCGTGAGCAATAGGAGGAGAGAGAGTGATGCAGGGAGGGATGGAGTGAGAGAGAGAGGGAGGGAGGGAGAGCAAAGGAGCGAGCTAGAGGGAGTGATACAGAGAGAGAGAGAGAAGGGAGGGGAGTTTAAACTAAGTGCTATGTTTTGGGACAGGCTAATCTGCTAGCGAGCAGTGTGAGGATCGGAGCGTATTGTGTGAGCCAGTGTGCGGGGGACAGATAAGGGAGCCATCCAGCCCGCCAACACGACCCACCGACCTACCGACCGCCTGACTGCCTGTTTTAATGTGCTGACTCTGGGGAGATTTAAAAAAAACAGCATATTGACTCCTTAGACGTGTGCGGAGACCCTGGGCACAAACGCCAGCACAGCAGCCACAGCAGAGGACAGGCAGACACAGACAGGGGAGACAGAAAAAACATCCCAACTCCAAAAAATCAGAACATTTAAGAGGATTTTTTTATCCCCCCTCTTTTTTCAATTGATTTTTCTTTTTTGTGTTCCCGGGGACTGACTCCTGACAGCCGCAAAGAGACGAGAAAACGACAGGAGCAAAAAGAACCTGAAGAGAATCTGAACATTTTAAAGGACAGAACGACATACAAAGAATCTGAACATGTTCGAAATAAGCCGAACACTCAACGCCGCTTTGTTGAGCAATGAGGTAAAGACATTTGGATTTAATTTCTCCACACTTCACCTGTCCGCTGCCAACCATTCTGTCATGTGTGTCTGTTGTATGTCCGTGTGTCTGTGCACTTCTGTTTGGGGATGATTGATAACAGCAGCTGTTTAATATTTCCCCGGCACAACATTGGGTGAAAAAGCGGCTCACACTCATCCTTGCTCGTAATAACAAATGGCGAGCTGGTGCCTAGACTTTACATCCCTCTATTGTCACAAGAGGTAGCTATCAAACCCACCCAACATAGGCTTGCTTGTGAAATTGCGTGCCCACATGTGCACGTACAGTATGTCCGTAAGTGGGAGTGTGTATGTCCGCACATGCATTTGTGTGTGAGCAAAGTGTTCTGTAATCCCCCTCTACCCTCCTCTTTCTTCATGTCCCTCCCCCCCCCCCCCACTCCCCACTCCCTCTTCTGTCCTTTACCATTCTCACCGTCCTTCCTACCTGCTGTTATCTGCTCTCCCCCTCTCAAGCCCCATCTCTCTCTCTCTCCCTCCATCTCCCTCCACTCTC